CACACACACACACACACACACACACACACACACACACACACACACACGCACACAAAATGTGTGTTACAGACATGGATTTAAAACACAATGATATCTGCAGTATGTACTTTAATGCCATGAAAAAATAAAAAATTAAACATCCACACTGGCTGGTGAGTGATAAAAGCGTCTGCTAAAAGCAAAAAGCTAGTTTCCTAACCAAATAAAGGTTTTGGTCAGTTGGTAAACAATGTGAGAATGTACAGAAGTGGAAATAAAAAAGTGTCTCGTCCCCCCAAAAAAAGCCTTTTTTGACAAAACAAAAGTTTGTCTATGAACAGCGCTTAAAAACAAAGTGTAGGCGGATAACACCTCCCGTTCCTGTGAAATCCTATCATGGGCAGTTTTGTAATGACTTATGGATTTTGATGGGAACACAAGGACGACAACAATAACGGACAATAGAACGGTTCATCTTACTCGCCACGCCTGCGTGAGTGTATGAATGAACGTGTCTGTGTCCTGACCTTCTTCAGGATAACAAAGTCATTCTCCAGGTTGTTCCTTTTGTTGATCTCGTCCTCATATCTACAGCAGAGAGAGAGGACATTGTGATACGGGCGTACATTCAATGACAATAACACTTTAGGAACTCATGTCTCTTCATTGTTCACTTGTGTTTGAAGTCCTCCACCAGCCCCTGCATGTTCCTCAGCTCCCCGTCCAGTTTGGTTTTGTCATTGTTGACCAGGTCCATTTGGCGCCTCAGGCCTGCCATGTAGGCCTCGAAGAGCGGCTCCACGTTGGATCGGCTCACACCCTGACCCTGGAGCAGCTCCAGCTTAGTCTCAAGCATCTTGTTCTGCTGCTCCAGGAAACGTACCTGGGTGAGGCAGGAAGAAACATTTTAAACCTGCGTGTTAAGGCAACAACTAAGGATACGATATCTTATGTTTCCTATAGAATGATCATTTAAGAAATGCAGTGTTGAGGACTTAATCTATATTATCTTGTACTCATTCCTTCATAAAGTAGATGTGTCAAAACCACCCAAAGTGCTACTCTGTGGCTCAGTTTCCCATAATGAGCAGGCGACACAGGTCAAAGCTGTTTGTTGTTAGAAGTAAGCGACTTGTCGTTCTCCATCGGTTTGCAGATATATTGTATAAAAGTGCAGTAAATCTGGTACACCAAAGAACATTTTTCCTGCCACTTTAAGTATTGTCTGCAAGATGGTAAAAAAAAAAAAATTGGGGGGAATGGTAAAACTGATAGTTACACTTTTATTACTGTTCTAACTAAAAGAGAAAAAAAATAATTCACAATGAAAACAAGAAAATGAGAAAACAGGAATGATCTTTTTAAAAAAAACGTCAGTTTGGATAACCATTGTGAACTTTAAGATTATTTTCAGGAGGACAATCAGTACACTGGTCAAAGGGATTGGATCATGCTGAGACCTAATAGTTATAATAAAGGCATTAACATTCTACAGTAGTAGCTGAAGCCAGAGATGGTTTCTTGTCAGTGACCAGATACCATGGAGGGGTATTAGACCTCTGAGACTTTCCATTCAGCCTCAAGTCTCTTTGAGACTCAAGCAAAGTTCCACTTTGGGATTACTGAAATTACATATCCTCAACTTTCAGCTGCCACTGTAGATATGTAAGATACTAAAAACCAAACATCCTGGGTAGTTGTCCTATTTAACTATAGGGGAAATATCCATCATATTAATAAGGAGCAACCTCAGTGATTGAATGATGTCATCTTTTGACAAACAGAGGTTAAAAGAGCATTCCAGTATAAGTAGCACAAGCTCATTGTCCGCTGAAGACTGAAGTGCGTACTGTATCTGTATAGCTCAAGTTTCCCGCCTGCAGCAGGGTTTATACCCCCGACACAAAGCCTGCGTTCTGTTCGGAGCAGAACGGTCTCCCTCTGAGGCAAAACCACACCGCGTTTGACCGGATTTATCAGGTTACAGTCCCACTCAATGGGACGGAAATAGGACAGATAGCTTAAATATCCAGCATCCCGGTGCCACCCTATTCAGGATACACATGCCTAGTTAAATCTGAGGTGCATTCTCTGCATTCTGACTCTTTCACAAAGCTTTTGGCTTTCAAATTACTTTAAACACACGGGATCAGATCTGTAAGAAATAGTCAGCACAGGCCTTTACATTACCCTAAAACTCCTAATAACTGTCATTGTGATTCTGCTAGGGCATCCCGCTACACAGAGCAAAAAATACACTGCCTGTCACGAGTGACTACCCCCATCACTGCATGAGGGAACCAGCTCTTTAATGTTTCATTAAATGGCCCAAGTGGCGTTGGATTCCTCTACTAAGTGCAAGAGGGATAAATGTATCCGTTAGCTTTACTTTTGAATTCTTTCTCTGTTTATGTTCATAAATTGGAAGAGGAGGTGGTGGTGGTGGTGGGGGGTCATATGCCCCAACATCCACAATTTTGACTCGTACCAAGATCAAAAACAAAATGGAAAAAGTCTTTCATGTCTATATCATATAGATGCCTGCACTTATATTTCAGCTTATCTCTTGTGAAAAAAGTTCAAGGACAACGAATCTTTTGTGTTACCTTTCAGCATGAATGTCAGTCATCCCGTTTCATCTCAATGTTTTATGTGGTTTTCACTGAAAGAAATGGCAGTTTGAATGTTTGATATTATAGAGGGCCTCTTAAAAGCCTTTAGAGAATTTCGTACATTCCTCCTACTGTAGTGTTGTGTGACAGGAATGGCCTCGACAGTAATTATTCATTGGATGATCTTGATATTTAATGACATTTATCAATTTATGAAGAGTTTTACTGATATATATTATAATATAAACTCATATTTATTTTGCATTTACCATATTCTACTTCCAGTTCTTTAATTTGGTAGATGATTATACATTTGAAGTGTAAATAATATATTATAGGTATTGTTTAAAGATGTACTCTTTACTTTGAAAGTGTGGAAATGTTCTATTTTTTTGTTTTCAGCATTTTAGTTTTCTGCCTAAATCATGATATTCCCATGACAGCTGCTTTGGGATTAATACATTTCATCATATCTTCACTATTCTGCTTTTTTTTTTAGTTCTTTTTAAATATTAGGCATGTTAAACATCCTCAAAGTTGGCAACTCTTCATCAATTTGAACTCAAACTGCAACTTTTGGCTGTTCGAACAACAGGCATTGGGAATATTTTGACATTTAATCTACATCTCATCACTTGGAGGGAAATTTTACCAAAGGTTAACATTTTTATCTCTAATAAAACATGTAAAGGATGCTGAAGGTTTTCTTATATCTCCTCCAGATCTAGAAAAATATGTTTAAAAAATAAAATGATGCACAGATTCAAAATGATACAGGTACTTTGGATGCGTCATAAATTCCAAAACAAGTTTAAGGTTATTTTTGTACGTTTGGACAAAAGTGCCTTCTCTCTGTGCCTCTGTATGCCTGAAGTGTATCTCTGCTGATGGGAGAAGCCAACAAAGCCTCTATTGTGAGAGCGTTACCCACTCCGTGAGAAAGGCGACATGCTCCCTGGGTAGGGTATCGATGTCCAGCGTTATCACGGAGCTTTTTCGCTCCCTCTGTGGGAAATGTGCTGCCTACGTTCTTCAGGAACTATGACAAGGGTGTCACTCAGCTCCACACAGCTTTGTAACATAAATAAGACAAGTTCAGGCTCATCATTTTTTTAACGCACATGTTCTTTAGATTAATGATGTGTAACTGCTGTCTACGTCAACTAACACAACAGACTAAGTGGTGCACTTTCAGTTTGGGATCTTTAAAATTCCCTCCACAGAGCTCAAAGCATTCATATGATTGACATCAAGCTGTCAAGTTGTCAAAGTGTGTCATTTGAGGTGTGAGTTAACACAAACAAATTAAATGTTTGGTTTAATTTCTCCCTGTTTCAGGAGGATGCTACTTTACCTCCTGCTATCTCCAACAATATACAAGTCAAAGTTATATTGTATCCTTTAGTTCAGCATTACCAGTTTTTAGCTGAATTTGTTTATCAATAGTCAAAAAACCCCAAACTGGCATCAGCAGAGAACTGGATCAAGCTATCTTTTAAAAAAAGGAAAATATACTGCTATGTTTTCTTGTATATCAATAGACTCAGTTGACAGAGGCAGAAGCTGTTACATAACAGAGGACAGGAGATGCTATCAAGCCATCACACAGATTTTTGAAATCCATACACAAACAAAATGGAAACTAATTTTAAACTGAAGTCAAATAATACACATTTTTGGATGTAGACACATGGAAATGTTCTCTTCTTAACTGTTTAACATTATGAGACATCCAATGGACTACGTGTTATCATGGTATCAAATAATAGTGAACTTTTTAGGATTTTTGAGCTATCCTATGTACAAACCCTGGTGATCTCTTCCTGTGTCTTTACCTTATCTATGAAACTGGCAAAGCGGTTGTTGAGGCTTTTGATCTGCTCCTTCTCGTGGGCTCGACTCATGGACAGGCTGGGGTCGATCTCCAGGTTCAGCGGGGCCAGAAGACTCTTGTTGACGGACAGAGAGGTCAGCGAGGCCCCCAGGCCGTGCTGATGGCCGTTGGCGCCGGCGTAGAGGGAGCTGCTGCTCAGGGAGACGCCGCCGAACCCGCCCTGACCCGGCCCGAAACCGCTCAGCCTCCTGGAGCCGCCGCCGCTCCGGACAGAGCTGCTGGAGCTGATCCGCTTGGTTCGACTCAGACTCATGTTGGAGGGAAAGGATGAAGAGACAGGGAAAACAGGTATGTGACAGGAGAGATGATGACTGAGCAGACAAATCGGAGGAGTGGAGAAGTGGACGGGCGAAGCTGCGATGTCTCACAGCACTGAGGAGTCTCACGTGTCTCGTGGCCTTTTAAACCTCCCCAGGGTGGAGTAACCAGAGGAGGGCTCAGCTTGAGCTTCTGGTGTCAGATGTCTAATGTTTCAGATTTTGTAGCCAAAGGTGGAACAGATATTTGTTTTTTATGTTATATGTTTGCACTAAAAGTTGACTTTACTTACACCAAAATCAAACTTTTGAGCCACAATCTCTCATTTCAAATAATCCATAGAAACAGTTGGAGTCCCATAATTAAAAACCTAACCATTAGGGGTCACTTTCAGTCTTTTCAAAGTTTCACCTCACCTCAGTTCACTGCATTTATATTTTAAAATAACATTTTCTATTATCTTTATTATCATTTTAAAACTTAATTGACAATAGGAAGATTGTTCAGTTTGAACTCACAGTGCCTATTCGAAGCTAACCTGCTGCTTTAGTACAGCCTCTTATTTTAGTTACATGAGAACAACACAAGAGAAGGACCTCAATATGGAATCAAGCAGACTTACACATGTGGTAAATGATGAAAGAGTTTATTATCA